ACGGATAAATTAACTTCTAACTTTAGTGTAACCTGTTATGTGTGGAGCCTGATTAGCAGAAGAAGCGCCCACAAAAAGTGCAACAGGCAACCCATTGCATAGGGGGCGCCCTTACGTCTAATAGTAGACTGACCAGCGCCAGCGGAGTGTATAGGTGTCCAACCAAAGTTTGTTAGGCAAAAATCCATTGCGAGTTAGAAGACTTGTTTCCAACATTGTGGAACAAAGAGAGCAAAAACTAGACGCCCAATGGTGGCACGTAGGCACCTATAACCAATTTCTGCAGTTTGAGACTTTCAGTATCGTGTTTGTTCATTGCAGGAAGTGCGTGTAAATAGTGCAAAGCGGTGCTACAAGTTGGTTTTGGATTTTTGTGAGCATTCGTTAGTTTCAAGAGAGTAGAGAAGCTAGAGTTTGTAATATGTACAGTTTCTCCTCATTTTATAGTGAATTTCTTAGTGTGGCGTTGCTCCATAGTTTTTCCTATTCTTAAATTTTCAATTTTAAATCTTGGTGTTCTTTGCATTTTTTTTAATTACTTATTTATTTGTTTCTGTTCAAGTATTTACTTAGGATCTCTCAACTTAGTGTTCCACATTTATCTTAACATCATAACAAGTGGTATATGAGTGGGATTTTTTTGAAGATCATTCATTCGAGTAGAAGCAATGACAAATGAAGTATGGTACAAAGTTAAAAAGTTCAATGAATATTGCGTTCTGGAAAATACAAATTGAAGATTTATTGTATAAAAAAAATTGTATTATCTCTCGAAGGAATCATCAAGAAGCATGAATCGATGACTCTGAAAGAATGGAAGTGCTTGATCGAACAGTTCTAGGTTTGATTCTACTCTCACTCTCCTCATTAGTTGCTTTCAACATTGTGAATGAGTAAAATATGATAGATCTCGTGGCTGCACTAACAAGAATGTATGAGTAGCTCTGGACTTTCAATATGAAGATAATTAATAGAAGTTCGGTGGTTGAACATTTGAATAAATTTCAATACTGTGACAAACTAGTTGTGTTATGTGCACATCAAGTTCAATGATGAGGTCGAGGGATTGTTGCTTTTATCTTCATTCCCAAATAGTTGGGATGGACTAATCACTGCGATGAACAACTCTTCAGGTAATATTAAGTTAAACTTTGATGACATTGTAGGGTTAATGCTGAAAAAAAATGTTTGCAAAAAGGCGAGTAATGAAATTTCAAAAATTATGCACAAAATGTTGAAAATAGTGGAATGAATTAGGATAGAAACACAGATAGGAAAAGATTCAAGTCCAGTAGAGAAAATTCCAGTTCAGAGAGAGAAAAAGGCAGAGAGGAATGATGGAACTGCGGGAAAAAAGATCACATTAAGAAGGACTATAAAGCTCCAATGGTTTGTGATAAAGGTCCAAAATATGAAGCTCTATATTAATGTCTTCATAGATAAAATTCAAGGTGACTCCCTAGTTTTATCCCTAAATAATATTAAATCTTAGACAGTAGATTCATGAGTTTCTTTTCATGCGTGTCACAACAAACAAATATTTAAAAACTACACTCAGACTGATCTCGAGAGGTGTATTTTAGAGATAAAAAGGCCGACGATATTGTTGGAAAGATTGATGTGAATATCAAGTTGTCTAATGGAACAATCTGGAGCTCAATGAAATTAGACATGTTTCATATTTAAGAGTAAAATTTCATCTCGGTGAACCAGCTTGCAAGGTAAGGGTCTGCGACCAGTTTTACAGATGATTTGTGAAAGATAACCAGAGAGTTGATGGTGAAAGCTCAAGACAACATTAATGACACTCGTTACCTAATCAATGAGATATATTAATCTATTGATGTAGTTGGAACAAAAACTAATGCAAGTCTTAGGCAGTGTAGGCAGTGTAGGCAGTCATATGCTATGAAGCACGGATACGGGCACGAGGGCACGAACAAGACACGACAATTCGAGGACGCCATATATGAAAAAAATATGACACGACGCGTCATAGACACCTTTTTATATTTAATAAATTATTAATATGAAATATATTTTCCATTATTCTTTATTAAAAATATCACAACGCAAATTTTAAAAGAGTAAAATTTAACTTTATAAATTTAATCTATATTATAAAATCTCGAGCTTATGAAAATTAAATTTTTAAATTAGATATAATATGTTTTAAAAGGAATTATCCAACTTATCTACTAAAAATGTAAAAAATCCTATGATTACAAAGAGGGAATTATTAATGTTTGGCTTCGACGAATATTCAATGCACCTTCGATGTTCGATTTTAACGTTAAAGAGAGCTTTAACATAATTCCTTTGAATATATTGAGAAAGAAGATAATGGTGATCAAGAAAATGAAAAAAAGATAGGTGCTCAATATAGTGAAGCACGGGAAATTCCTCAATCATCTGATACTGAAATCAGGAGGTCCAACAGAGTTACACTACTGATACAGAGGTATTCATCTTCTTCAAACTATCTTTTATTAATTATAATTGTGAATCAGAGTGCTATGAAGAAGCTGTCTAAGTTGAAGACTTGAAAGAAGTGAGAGTTTGTCATGGATGAAGAGATGTAGCCGCAAAAGTCAAATCAGACATCAGAGTTTGAAGCTCGCACTGCACAACATGTGGATCTACAGGTTAAAAGAGGAGTTATATGGTAGCAGACACTATAAGGCAATGCTTGTTGTGAAGGGGTTTCAGCAAAAAGAATGAGTGGAATACTCAGACATACTTGCTCTAGTAAAGAAGATGACAACTATCAGAGTTGTGCTGAGCTTGGTAACAGAGAAAAATTTACATCTGGAGCAGATGGATGTGAAAACAGCTTTCTTGCATTGTGATTTAAAATAAGAGTTGGATATGGTGCAACCACAGAGATATAAATTCCAAGAAGAAAAGGCATGGTCTGTAGATTGGAAAAAAAAAACATTTATGGTTTGAAGCAAACCCCAAGGCAGTGGTACAAAGGGTTTCACAGATTTATGCCAGATAATGGATATATAAAGTGTCAAGCAGATCACTATTATTTCATCAAAAAATTTGGTTATTATTATATCGTGCTTCTCTAATATGTGAATGACATGTTGACTGTAGGAGTAAATATGAAAAAAAATTGGAAAGTTGAAGGCACAATTATCAAAAGAGTTTGAGATTAAAGATTTAGGTCCAACGAAGAAGATTCTCGATATGAGAATCAAGGGACAGGAGTACAAGTACAGTGAAGTTGCCTCAAGTAGAATATATTAAGAAGGTCCTACACAGGTTCAACATGAATGTCGCAAAACCAGTTTGCACCCCCTTAAATAGTCACTTCAAACAATCTAATGAACTATCGCCTAAATCTAAAATAGAACAAACACAGGTAAAATAACTCCTTATGTTTCAGCAGCTGGAAGTTTGATGTATGTAATGATATATACAAAACCAGATATTACACATGCAGTGGGAGTGATCAGCATGTACGTGGGTAATCCAGCATAACATTATTAGAAGATGGTAAAGTAGATTTTTAGATACTTGAAAGGAACATTCAATAAGACACTTTCTTTCAGAGGTGGGGGAATTAATCTACAGGAATGTGTAGACTCAGATCTGGCAGGAGATATTGATGATGAAAGAAATACAACTTCATTTTAGAAAATATAGCAATAAATTGGGTCTCCGGGCTACAAAAGATTGTTGTACTTTCAACTACAGAAGGTAAGTGCATTGTTATCACTGAGGCTAGTAAGAAAATGACTTGGCTGCAAAGCTTTATGGTAGAATTAGGCAAGGAGCAAGATATTAGAAAGCTTCATAGTGAAAGTATGAGTGTTTTTCACCTAGCTAAGAACGTTATTTTTCAAGCCAAGACGAAGGACATTCAACTGAGGTATCACTTTATTCGTTCTCTTCTAGAAAATAATAAGTTATCTTTGGAGAAGATATATACAGCTCAGAATCCCGCATATACGTTGACAAGATGGTTATAATTGAGAAATTGAAGCTATATTTGGCTTCATTTGGTATTCAAGAAGGTTGAGACCATGGGTGAGCCATGCTATTGTACGCAACTATGAAGATGGCACAACTTTGGAGGAGAGGTGGTTGCAAATAAGTCTCTAAGTGAGAGATTGTTATGTATGGAGACTGATTAGCAAGGAGAAGTCGCCAGAAACAGTGCAGCGGACAGCTCAACGACAGTGGCGCCTAGGCACCCCGCCAAAGGTTCCCAAGCAAAAACTTATCGCGAACGAAAACCTGCCTCCAATAGTGGGCACTTAAGCGCCGATAAGACTCCTACAACACCCAGAAACTCGACCCCCAGACAAGGCTCCTAGGCGCCCATAACCAATTTTTGCAGTTTGAGACTTTAAAATATGTGTTTATTCATTGCAGATAGTGCAAAGCGGTGCTGCGAGTTGATGTAGGATTTCTGTTAGTTCATTTGTGCGAAAGAGAAAGAAGAAGAGCGCTCGTGAGTTTCAAGAGAGTAGAGAGGCTTAAGTTTGTAATATACACAATTTCTCCTCATTTCATAGTGAAATTCTTGGTGTAGTGTGGTTCCATGATTTTTTTACATTCGTAGGTTTTTAAATGTTAAATCTTGATGTTCTTTGTGTTTTTATTTTTGGAATTACTTATTTGTATGCTTCAGTTCAAGTGTTTTGTTCCAGACCTATTGGAATTCTGCATCTACCTTAACCCCATAACATAACCAATGGATAAATCAAGATCTAACACTTATAAGACACCTTTATCTTTAAATCACAACGAAAGCATCACTTATATAAGTAACAAATCTAAATAAATTACAGATTTTCATGCATAATTTTTATGTGATTTAGAAATAATGGCGTGATATAAGTGAATAAAAGAAATGCAAATGCACAAAAATTTTGTGTTATGTAGGTAATTCTCAAAAAAAAAAATCACATCAATGAAATTGTTTTGCAAACAAGAGAGAAAAAATGCAAAAGAAGTAAAACATTAATTTGGAGGATGCAGCTCACCATGTGTGATCAGCAATAAGTTTTCAAGTGGGAATTTGTCAGCTAGAGCCTCAATGATGGTATGGTATCTCTCTCTTGCAACAACCAGTGGCTCCTCCCATAAAGGCAACTACAGCAATTCAAAATTGTTTGCCTAAGTCATTCTTTAGAAACATTCATATTACCACATATGCCATAACTTAAAAGCTATTAATATAAAATAGACATACAAAACCTAAGTACAAAAAAAAAACCTGCGTTCTCAAAGGGCCAACAGATTGATCAATAGTTCCTGCTGGTAGCAAAGCCTCGAGCTCTGAAACATCAGAAAGCCAAATTCCATCTTTAGGAAGTGCGGTGAGTCGCATTGCTTCCATACAAAAAACTTCACACAATCCATATTCGATGTTTGCCTGTATAATCATGAAGAAGAAACAAGAAACAAGTCGAACTAATTTCAGAAATCAGTTACTGTTGATTTTAATCAGTTATTATCCAAATCCCCAAATGCCTTTCCATCTTGTTCATAAGAAATAAGAAATATTAATACTATGTCATGCATCGATACATCAAATGAACACGTGATTTTAAATTAACTTGAAAAAATAATGCAAAACAGAACTTTGACTTCCGATGTGAAGAAACTTTTCCCAAGTCACAAAAAAGAGATTTTAAAAACTTAATTATTAAAAAAAGGCTAATGATTTGATCTATTTTTAAGCAAGGATGAAAAATCAAGGAGAATTGAATGAGCAAGGAGCAAAGTTCTTGAATCAGAAAGTTATGATCCCAAGGTGTGATCCGATCAGAATCACCCTCCCAGACTAGGGTTCCAGAAATAAGACACGAAGGAAAAAATAAAAGATTCCCAATTGATGGGCCTAACAGAGATAAACAAACACATGCATACATATTTGTATGTGTATGAATAGAACCACTTATCCTCACACAATTTTCCCAATTCATACTACAATATCATGGACTAAAATTTGAAGTAATTAAAAGTAGTTAATAATTAAAAAAGCAGGGTGGTAAAAGATTTGGGAGTGCTCTATCATTTTAAATAAGAAAGATTTACAAGCATACCCTTAATTCCTATGTAATCACATATCTAACAATTAAACTTAAATTTTACATATATGCCTAAAAAGATTGTAAGCCACCTCTTAAAAGTTAAAATTGTGGTATTTTTTATGTGATATAAAAGATTTGGCCAACATTAATCTAAAAAAGTTGGGTTCAGGGGTTAGATAACTGAAAATATAAGAAGTATGTCTTCGCATCTCCCTGCTTTCCATCTTCACATCTTCTGTACGTCCGCATTTCGCTCGGAGCGTCGTAGTCCCCTAATTTAGGATATGAGTGAACGCATGCTCATCATTCATAGTAAATTACATTGATTGTCCTATTGTTAAGAAGAAAAGTAGAAAAGGTGGGAAAGCAGCACTCTTTTTATTGTTTACATAAATATTAAAGTGTTCAAAAAATTAGAAAAACTAAGTATTAATTACATTAATATTCAAAGACTAGCACCATGCATTATATAGAAAGTTGCACGAGAGGTGTAAGCCAGCTTCTTAGATTCCTTCATCCTGAACTCAATGTGGCGGCAACAAGATAAGCAGTGTTGAACTCCCCAAGGAAGAATTCATTATCCCCATACACCGTTTTCACGCAAGCTAGTGCCACCAAATCCGCCACAGAGGACACAACTCCACCTTGAAGGGTATTGTATGGATTGACGACGGAGGCGTTGACCTTGAGAGTGCAAATGATTTGACCGCAATCGATGTAGTCAACTTTAAGGAGGTTGCGTATCAAATCAAAGTAGAAATCTTTGCGTTCTGAAGCTTCTGGAATGTCTTGGAGAAGGCCGAGAGTTTTGAAGAAGCCTATGGTTCTGGCGGCGGAAGGTTGTTGGGGATGCTCCGACGGAGCCACCATCTCCATGCCGATAAAACTTTCATGAGGGATTTAGGCAGGATTTAAGCCAAATATTACCAGACAATCCATATATATATATATATATATATATATATGATTGTATCAACATATGCATGTATAACTATGTATCTGTGTAGGCATACATATGAATGTATATCTATGCATCTGTGTATGCATACATATGCATGTATTTGTATATATATGTGTATATATGTGTATATATAAGGTATGTGAACGTATGCATGCATGCCTATGTATGTATGTATATGTATGCAATCATGAATCTATATGCATGCATGGATGTATATAGATGTGTGTGTGTCTGTAATGGAGTCACTTATCCTCAGACAACTTTCCCCATTCATAGTAAAATTTCAGTGAAAAATTTGAAGTTGTTAATAATTAAAAAAGATGGTGTAAGATTTTAGAGTACTGTCATTTTAAATAAATAGAAGAGTCTCCCTCTTATTTAATATATTTTACTTTAGAGGTTGAAATTTTTTATGTTTGGTTTGGACTTTATGAGACCATTTATACCATCTTCCGAATATATATATATATATATATATATTAGTTGAGTTGGGGAATGTCGTCGTCTTCTCACGCTAACAACAATATTTTTCTCTGACTTAAGAATTTCAACACTGGCGGAGAAATTCAAGTTTGCTCTTATTGAAAAATTTTAATGGGGGCGCTCACCTATGGAAGTTATCAGAAAGAATGTTGATGATCTTAAACTAGTAGGCAAGTGGAAAGTAGGACTCGTGGATGGGAGACATGTGTTGATTCAACAAATTGTGGCTGAATACTACACCTGAATTTTCTCCAAGAAATATCTTAATATCGCAGGCAAATCAATGAAGTCACTCAAGTGGTTTCCTGATTTCGACCCAAATCATGAAACTCCCACTGTACCGGTCACTGAACTCCCACTGTACCGGTATGGTTTAGTCTACCTGGTCTCAAGCTGCAATTTTTTTCATTATCAAGTTTTCTACTCTATTGGGGTCATCCTTAGGGACCTTATGAAGCTAGATCTACCCAGTTTCAATCTAACCAGAACTTCTGTTACCAGATACTTGTGGAAAGGAATATTACATTACCTGATGTTACTGAAGTTTGGCTGGGCACAACACATAATGGATATTGACAACAAATCGTCATAGAACACAGACCTCCATATTATACCCACTATAAGATGTTTGGGCATATCCTTGATAAATGCCACAAGCTCCATCCTAATTTGAAATCTAAGGTTCAAGTGGATAAAGATGAGTCTAACCCAACTGCTCTGGATATTTTAGTTCCACCTGAGGAGAATACTACCAGACACCTTCGAACCCCATAGAAAACAATACTGAAGAACTATTACCTATAAAGGATAGTGTTCAGACTGATAATCAGAAGAACCTCACAGCTCCCCATCTTCAAGGAGTATCCAATGTAGAGGCAACTCATACTTCACATATATTAGAACCTATTGTGGGTACTACGGTTAGTACTCCTACAGCCCTACCACCTCATCAGACTGAATCTTCGGATAAAGAATGACAGGTTTACATTTTCAGGAGGAAGAAGAAGAATGGAGATCTACTCAAGCTCAGGAGTTTTATGGATGATACTTTGGTTACTTCTGATAATAGTACGCATATTACCAATTTGTTAGTTGGATCCCTTCCGAGAACAAGAGGCAGAGGCAAAACTAAATTGGGAGGATGACCACTACTTTTTCAGCGCCCTGGTTTTTGGGCTTTTTTCATCTTTATATGTACCGTGTGGGTTGAATGTCTATTTTTGGACCCACTCATACAACTTATCTGTATCTTTTCTCTTTAATATATTAACCCTTGGGCTTTTTTCAAATATATATATATATATATATATATATATATATGACTTCGTCGTCTGCTTAGGCCGACCTCCTCGGCTGCTTTATGCGGCTTCGTCACTTCGCTCATTCATGGTTTTCGCATGGTTTTCTCGCCGCCCCCAATTGCGCGAGGGTTCGGCTTCGACTCCCTCCCGCACAACCTCAACCCATCATCTCTTCCTCCTTCGCGCGTTGATTCTTCCTTATCTCTTCTTAGATGGTTGGCTAGGGCACGGGGATTCTCCTTCACCATAAAACCACCAACATCGGGTGATCAGTCATAATATAAAGGTTTGGCAAGATGGATAGAGTGGAAGCTAGAACATCTTAATCTAAGAGTAGGGATCCAAACATAAATGGACCACTACGTCTAGAGTATATGAAGCCATAATATAGATTTGGTGGGAGAGGAAAGCATATTAAGCAAAAACTACAAACACATCAACTATAAATAACATACACAATAAAACCACAAACAATAGGTGATCGGTCTAAAATACCACAATGGTAAGTCATCATAACTCAACATCATTGTAAAGCACTCCATATTTGTTCAGACAGAACTTCACCCAAGAAACTAGTTTGGAGATGAGCCTTGGGATGATAAGCATAAATTGCAAAAGAGGTAATGCCAGTCATAGCATCCCAAAACCAATTGCAATCATGGCAAATATAGGTAGAATGATAATTGCAAACAAGGCCAAAAAGCCACATGCTGGCAGAAGAACCAATGGAGCAACTCAAAAAAGATTATAATATCAAAGAAAAAGAACACCTATACATGCAAAAGGATCTATGTACTGGAAAGACCAAGCAGGGGCCACGCACAAGCAAGCCAAGCAGTGAAATAAAGAGGAGAGGATTGGCTTCTTAATAGGATTGATTCAAGATTAGCATTTTCTGGCCTGGTTTCGTTTGGTGAATACCTTGGAAGATATTATACTGCTGCTCAAAGGAGGAGATTGTTTCTAAAGCCTATCAGGAGTTTTCTGTTACATATGATGTCACTTTTACTCCAAACTATTTTCACTTGTCATATGGTATTTCTAAAAGCTTCCATTGAAGTCCTTTTGACAATGAGAAGTCTAGCAGCAAGGCTATTCTTTAAAAATCTCAACACATTCAAGGTCCTTTTGAGGCGGCTTAATTGGAGCGGCGCGATTTGAAATTAATTCCCTAATTCATTTTTATTGCGCTTAAAATACATTAGATTTGGGAGAATTCTAAAAACACTTTTTTGTGTGAAGTGTTGCTCATTGGAGTCTATCGCTTGACACCCACTGCCTCTAGCCGACCGTCAGCCTCCCCTTGCATGGGTCATTCGTCGCCCATCATCAGCTAATTGTTAGGCACCTGCTCTTGTCGGTTGCCCCTTCGCTGTTGGCCACTAACCCCGCTCTCGTTGCCCTCCTACTATGTATTGACATTTTTTTTTCAAAGCAAAGAAGAAAATGTGTAGTCTTGTATTTATTCTACAATGAACCAAATAAATTCAAAATATTCCAAATACAATGCATTATTTTTATATTAAAATACTTTTACACGGCATTACTTTTTCATAAAACCAAACAGACACTTCATAAGTGGATAAGAACTATTCTCTACAATAATTCGGTCAATTGCAAGGCCAACAGCAGCCCATCAAATAGCAAACCCTGTCCTAGCCTTTAAATATTGCATTCTGGATTGCCAAAAAAAATGTAGTTACAAAAAGATGTACAGAACTATGCCTCTTGGTCATCAAAAACATGGGCTTTATTAGCTACCAAAAGAGGAAAAGAGCATAGTGCTCATTTACATGTTTCAAAATGAAGTGCCTAGTAGTGGCAATTTGAGCACACATGTAAGCTACTTTGTTATCAACTTTATGGAAGAAAAACAATTATAACAATGCAATCCATTTCAGAGATCATGAATGCACCATATGCATGCATCAATAAAACTTATATTCAAGCATGTGCTTTATGTGCAACTATCAAAAAATCCAAACTGCTAAAAGGAGAAAACAAAAGGCTCATTGGTCATCATTAAGTTCATAAGAGAAATGAATTTCTATCCAAATGAAATCAAAAGAAAAATAGTGCAAAGTCTAATAGGAAGACAGACAAGCCATGAGCCCATAAACAAAGTTTACCAAATGAATTTCCTATAAATTTCATTCTTAGAAAGTTATAAGTTAGACAACTCCAGAGAAACCCTCACTATAAGTAACAGCACAATTTCCGCCAATTGGACCAAAATTACTGTATCGAAGAGAATAATTAAACTCACTCGATTCATTGATAGAATAAAAATAATACTTCTAAGGAATGATATCTCAAGGTCTTATTCCTCATATCAACTCTACTAACAGGGCGATGTAATTCATTACTCTAGTTACGAGGATACAGATCCGAGATACCTTAACACGAGTAGGATCAATCACAACGCCAGCACTAGTCTCCATGGATAGAATTTGGGTTTCGTTGTCTACAACGCAGCAGAGGGCGGTGATGACCTCGGCGGCAGTTTGGAGGCAACGGAGGAAAGGTGAAATGATGATGCGGTGGACAGGGAAGCCAATGACTCGCAGTCTTTTTCCCGTCGTCCAAGCCCGAATCTTGCCAGAATCCGTCAATGGCGGATCCCATGGACGCTCTGCGCGGGCTAGCCAAAGAGGTTCCTCCGCGTCGATTCGGTCGCCGTGCCTCATTACCACTACGTTCTGCGTCCGTCCTTGTCTCTCCCTGCACGAGTCGGCTGCTTCTCCTCCAATTTGGAGCGACTCCGCCATCTCCCTCGCTTGCTCTCGCTCTCTCTCGCTCTCTCTCTGCAATGGGCATAAAGATTCCCACGGGGGTGGGAAGTTCCACCGGGCACTGAAGAACTACGCCGAACATCGAAGAACAAATTTGTCGGTACAGATAAGCTACGAACACCTTGCCAGCGAGCTTAAGCTAAAAAACACTTATTTTTTAAAGATAATTTTTTTGTATCCTCCTTTCTTTCTTCTTTTGTTTTAAATTATATTTTTCGCATACATGTGAATTTATATACTTAACACTTGCATTTTAATTTTTATACTTGTAACATTTAAATCTTTACATCAAAAATATCACCCGTAGTTTTAAAAAGGGATGTAGATAAAATAGTATAAATGAAAATATTAAAATTTAGGTATTATATATCTAAATATTAAACATCAAAAAAGTGTTCATGTGTGCTAGAAAATTAGCGGCGGTAGAGTAATGGATTATCATCTTAGCGTTGCACGAAAATTCAGCACACACTCGGGTGAAAGAAAATAATCAGTAGTGACACCAGAAGTTTTTACTTGAAAAATTCAAGTTAAGGAAAAAAATCATGGAGTCTGATACAGTTATAGAAATTCACTATAAATTGATGATTACAGAAATTTCTTGTCCCAGAAATGGAAATGGGTTGTTAGATTTTTCATGTTACAATGTCTACTGACGGTGTATGGTTAGTGGTGGTCAACGACAATTGATGGCGACTGACGGTAGTTAGTGCTGGATCATGATGGTCGGTGGTGGTTAATGTAGACTGCAATGCTCGACGATGATTGGTGGTTTTCTACAGCGATCGGCGGTGATCAACGGTTGCCGGCGGCGATCGACGACGGAGAAATGGTGCTGGCTTTCAGCTCATTCTCCAAGCCTCAAGTTCTCTCTCAAAACTCAAATTGAGGCTATATTTATAGTTTTCTTTATACAATTAATGCAAGAATATGAACCATTTTGATCGTCTGGTCCGGAGAGCTTCCTTTGATCATACGGCGATTGATGGACATTGGAGTGTCTTAACGATGTTGGAATTGATAAATGTTGGGCTCGTGAGATTCACTTTGTCGAGACGCTCGATTCGAATATGAACTCACCAGATTCAGCATCCTTTTGACCTTCCAAATGTGTTCAAAAATCATCCAATAGTAGTTTAATGACTTGATATGGGTTTAATTTGACTGAGATTTGACTAGTTTTCATATCATTCAGTTTATCTCGTCAGGTCGGTCAGTTTGACTATAAGTTTGATGAAATTGATGCTCTTGATGACTTTTAATCAAGATTCAAACTTTTCTTACTCAAAATATTATCTCGAGATCTTGTCATACATCGAGATTCGTGTAGGATGATAAGAATTTGTTGATAACGTATCTGTTGCCCCTATTTTCGGATGAGTCCATTTTTGTCATCTGAAATTATCTAAATCAGGAGATTTTTTTGTTTTAATCTTTAATATATATATATATGGATAGACCTTTAATAGTATTGAATTTCACTATTTTCTCCTCAAATTATAACTTATCAAATTCCTATTTAAATATTCTGATAAGCTTTTATTTTTTCTGACAGTTTTTTTATTGGTTTGATTTTCTAAATGCTTCGATAATCCTTTTAATTGCATGCATTAAGTGATAAGTGCACACATAACATAGCTTTAGCACAGATCCGATGGAGGGCGGAGTTTGGAAATGGTGGCAGAAAGTGGGTCAGCAGAATCGGGAGTGGAATTGTCGAATTGTGGGAAGCAAAAGCGCAACAATTCTCTTTTATTATTATTATTATTATTTAAATAACGAGCATTTACTGGTTGAATTCCTTTTTAAGCCTATATATAGGCCTAAAGGAAAGGGTAGAGGTGAAGTCCTCAGTTGATCCAGGATTTACCAGAAGAAAAACGTCTTGCGTATTGGAGAAGAGTTGCAGTGCAGAGTTGCTGCACAGAGTTTAAGTGAAGATTTGCGATGGAGAGTTGCGGTTGAGAGTTGCGAGGAAGTGTTGTGAGGAAGATTTTTGGCGCACCTGGCAAAGTTTCGACACAGAGTTGCGAGGAAGAGTTGTGGTGTATAGTTCCAGCGAAGAATTGCGGCGAAGAGGAATGTTGTATCCATCCTGCGTAGCAGGCAAGCAATGAGATTTTCTTTCACATTGCAACTAGGAGGAAAGACGTCTCTGTCCTTTGTAGCAGTAGGCAAATAATGAGATCTTCTGTCTCGTTGTGGCGAAGAGGAAAGTCTTCCTCGTCCTGCGTAGCAGACAAGCAACAAGAACTTCTTTCACATTGCGACGAAGAGAAATGTTATCCCCTCCCTTCGTAGTTGGCATGCAACGAGATCTTTTTCACGTTGCGGCAAAAAGGAAAATCGTCTCCGTCCTGCGTAGCAGGCAAGCGACAAGATCTTCTTTCTCGTTGCGGTGAAGAGGAAAGTCATCCCCGTCCTGCGTAGCAGGCAAGCAACGGGATCTTCTTTCACGTTGTAGCGAAGAGGAAAGTCGTCTCCGTCTTGTGTAGCATGCAAGCAACGAGATCTTTTTTCTAGTTGTGTCGAAGAGGAAAATCGTCTACGTCCTATGTAGAAGGAAAACAACGAGATCTCCTTTCTTATTGCTACTGCGCATTTCAACGGAGATGAAGAAATGCCAAAGTTTTCCCACTGCACTTTTATGGTGAGAATTACATGCTTCTATAGCAGTGATTTCTCTTGTAGCCTTTGTACCAGTTTTTTTTTGTCTTTATAGCCATTTTAATCATCTTATGTGAGATTTATAGATGATAATGTATTTTTTGTATGTCTTTAACGTTGCTTCTGATGTTGTCGTGACTTCTCAACCATACAAAATTCTACAATTAAAGTTAGCGCACACATTTTATAAAATGAAGAATTGTGTACCTTTTGAGACTAGTGTCATCAGAGGTTGTGCCCTCTTGGGCTTAACTTCTAAGAGAACCATATCATCTCGTCGAGTCATTCCCCATGGGTTTGACTTTCAGTGATATGGTTGAAAGGAAAATCCATTAAAAATGTAAGATCAAGTCTGAGTTGTATAACTGGAAATGCTCGACGGTTTTACCCCATAATGAACAAATTCATATGAAATCAACTTAGGATGGTTGACTTATTCTATGTTGTTGGTCAAAGCTTTTGCTTGACAACCATAACATGTTATGGAAGGGGTTGAAGGAAATCTACCAAGGATTTTTGACCTATCTGAGGCTATGTCAAAGCTTTTTCTTGATGGCTGTAGCCTGTAATCGAAGAGGTAGAAGAAAATCCACCAAGGATATTTGACCTATCTGAGGCTTCTTGTCGAAGCTTTTGTTTGACGACTGTAGCCGGTAATGGAAGAGGTCGAATCGAGTCCCCTTGGGATTGATTAAGCCTAGAATGAGGTGTCTGAGAAGCTCTACATTTCTCGAGACTAAAGCGTAGTCGCAATGGACTATATGTTTTCTTGAAACATGGTTACAATCATTCCCGAGAAAAAAATGTTTGACAACTTGTTAGTTGCTGCTTTTGAATCTTATGCTCTCCCAACTAAGGTGTTTTCCATGTGAGCTTGTAAAAAAACACATGTATTGGGCTCTGAAGAGATCAACTTCCTGATCTAGTTGAAGAGGAACTCAGATACGATGAGGGCGCACTGAAAAAACATTATTTTCGGTGAAGATTGTCCTCGAGTCCATAAACAATTCTTGTAGACTTGTAAAATGAATGAAATGTTGGATGACTTCCCCATCATAGTCTTGTCCGGGACGTTACCTATTGAGATTGCAATGAAGGTTGCCCCCCCAGCCTGGAAGAAGTTGTGAAAGACTTTGTGTCTGGATAAAATGTTAGAAGACAACCAAGCTACAATCATTCCCAGGACGTTAATGTGAATGATTTTTCAAAATTGCAGTGAAGTTTCCCCCCAAATTGAAGAATGCTTCAGAGATGTTCTTCAAGACATGAAGGAGGTTCCTTCACTAGTTGGATGAAGTACATCATTGGGAAAGGAAGTAGGTGCTCGGTGTCTTAGAGTTGAGGACAATGTTTAACGGGACTTCGCTTCCCACAGACGGTGAGAAACTGATGTGTGCTAAAAAATTCGTGATGGTAGTGCAATGAATTATCGTCTCAGTGCTGCGAAAGAATTTAATATACACTTAAGTGAAAGAAAACAACTAGTAATAACACCAAAAGTTTTTACGTGACAAGACCCGTAAAGGGAAAAAATCACGGGGTCTGACCCAGTTGTAAAAATCCATTATAGGTTGATGATTATAAAAATTTATTATCCTAAAAACGAAAATAGGTTGCTAGATTTTCCAAGTTACAATGTTAACTGATGGTGTCTGGTTGGTAGTTTTCGATGAAGATTGGTGGTAATCGATGGTGGTTAGCGACATTCAATATGGTTGGTGGTGGTTAATGACAACACTAATGCTCGACGGTGGTTGGTGGTTGTCGACAGTGATCGACGGTGGTCGACGACTGCCGGCAACGACCAATGATGTTGGGATGGCGTCGGACATCAGCTCCTTCTCAAAGCCTCAAATGATCTCTTAAGGCTCAAGCTCGCTCTCTCATGAGGGGGTGGGGCTCTATTTATAGTGTTATGGGTGCAATTAATGTAGGAATATTACCATTTTGATCAGATGGTCCAGAGAGCTTTCTTCGATCAGACGACATTTGATGGACATTTGAGTGTCTTAATGATGTCAGATTTGAGTGATCTTGACCTCGTTGGATTTGTCTTGTCGAGAAGCTCGATTCAATTATAAATTCACTAGATTCAACATCTATTTGACCTTCCAAATGTGTCTGGAAATCATCTAAGAGTACTTTAATGACTTGATCTGGGCTAGATTTGACTCTGATTGCACTAGTTTTGATAACATTCGGTCTGTCTCATTGAAACTGTCAATTTGACTATAAGTTTGATGAAATCAATGCTCTAGATGACCTTTTATCAAGATTAGAACATTTCTTGCTCAAAATACTATCTCAAGTTCTATGTCATGCCTCAAGATTCGTGTCGGATGATGAGGATTTGTTGATGGCGTATCAGGTGTCAATGTGCATCTTTTAAGGACTCAACGATCCAAAAAGAGAAAACATGATGGAAGGAGATCTCCTGCAAGGACATTGCGAGACCCATCGAACCAACCC